CTGTTCTGTTCAAACTCTTTGTGGCTCCTTAAGCTTTGGGTTTACGAAGGTCTCCCAGCTGAATCAAAACATCTTCATAACCACTTCAATCCACTCTCAGACAGTTTAAATATCATCCAATAGAGAACAGAGAGCATGAATTTGAAGTTAAATCTTCTGTATATTCCACAGTGCCTCTGATAAATACATAAACTCGTGTCCATCATGGTTCATGTCCATCTGCTCTCAGCAGGTGCTGCTCTCCGTGTTGCCTGTGCTGGAAGTATACGTGTTGGTCCTTTTAGAGTACTTCATCGAGCTGAATGAGACCCTCATCCTCTCCACCGTACGGCTGCTACGGCACAGTAGCGTGTTCTTGACGTGCTCCCTGAACTCATCCGAGACGTAATAGTAGATGAAAGGATCCAAGCAGCTGTTGAGACTGGCCAGGCACAGTGTGAGGATGTAGAAACAATAACATTTCAAAGCAAATAAAACATTTATTTACATGGAACTGTGCCTTTAGGGGTAAAGTGGGCTACGTGTGTTTACAGGTGCATTTCCTTGTAAGAGGTACAGAGACATCTGATAAACCAAGAGATTGAGATACAATAAACAAGGTGTGAATGAAGATTCAGACACACACACTAAACTGGGAATTCTAGAAAGCAATTTTTGAGATAATGACATTTTGTTTTCAGAGATACAGTTGAATTTAGAAAATGAATCTGCATGAATGTAGAAAAATATCATTCAAACATGTGCATAACAGACAAGAATAGTGACCTAATTATGAATATAATACAGTGAAACAATAAGGCATTGTGACTAACTGGCAAAAAAATCATTGCCAATCAGGTTTGATACAATAGAAAAAATAAGAAAATATTAAAAACAGAACCAATTCTGGCTAAAAGACAAAGTTAAAACACTTAAATGACATAGAATTTTTACATTTTTAAATTCACATTATATATCATTTCACAAGGTCCATCGGAACAATTTCAAATGTAACAACAGAACAATCTGGCTGGGATGCTTCTCTTCAAGTTTTACGCGACTACTTTGTCTTTGAGCTTTAGACCGAACGCTAGACTGTTCTGTTCAAACTCTTTGTGGCTCCTTAAGCTTTGGGTTTACGAAGGTCTCCCAGCTGAATCAAAACATCTTCATAACCACTTCAATCCACTCTCAGACAGTTTAAATATCATCCAATAGAGAACAGAGAGCATGAATTTGAAGTTAAATCTTCTGTATATTCCACAGTGCCTCTGATAAATACATAAACTCGTGTCCATCATGGTTCATGTCCATCTGCTCTCAGCAGGTGCTGCTCTCCGTGTTGCCTGTGCTGGAAGTATACGTGTTGGTCCTTTTAGAGTACTTCATCGAGCTGAATGAGACCCTCATCCTCTCCACCGTACGGCTGCTACGGCACAGTAGCGTGTTCTTGACGTGCTCCCTGAACTCATCCGAGACGTAATAGTAGATGAAAGGATCCAAGCAGCTGTTGAGACTGGCCAGGCACAGTGTGAGGATGTAGAAACCGTAGCCGTTATTGGCCCAGCCGTTTCGCAGGAGAGCGTAGTGCACGACCAACATCACGTTACTTGGGATGAAGCAGACCAAGAACGTTATGAGCACCGTGATGATGAGAACCATGGCTCGTTGGCGGCTTTTTCCAGCGCTGCCCTCGATTGTGGAGTTCCCAAGCGAGCGAAGGAGCAGAATGTAAGCTGCGATGATGACCAACATTGGGATCAAGAACACAAGACCTGCCATCACCATAAAATAATAATAAGGCAGCTGAACATCCAGAAACGCATTGCCCGAGACAAAGTTCTTCTGGCTGATACTATTGACATCGTGGCAGGTGGTGATGTTGAGGTCCGAGAGTTCAACTGTTTGCTGGTACAGGTACAAAGGTGTAGTACTGACCCCAATGAAGATCCAAATACACACAGATACAATGATTGCAAACGTGTTGTTTTTCCTTTGCTGTGTGAGTGGGTGAGCGCAGACCCAGTACCGCTGGATGCTCAGACAAGCGATGAAGAGGATGGAGCAGTACATGTTGCCGTAGAAGAAACCCACGAAAACTTTGCACATCCCTTCCCCGAAAGTCCAGTTATTTCCTTTCAAATGGTAAGCGATCTTGAGAGGCGTCCAGATAACAAACATAAGGTCAGCCAGCGCTAGGTTGCCCATGTAAATGGCAGCAGGATGAATTTTCTTTGACCGGAACAGCAAGACCCATATAGCCATGGCGTTGGTTGGCAACCCCACCACAAAAACAATTATGTAAATAATTGGCAGGAAGATGGTTGTGAGACCGCTCTTTAGTGTATCTGTAACGATCTGGTCAAAGAAGAATTTGCCTGATTCTTCATCCTGCACGACTATTAAACCTCGTCCTTTCTCTCTAACTGAAACAAAACACATAGATTCACATTCTGAATGACTGAATCACAAATAAAAGTACGTTAGAAAAACAAGTTGGCCTAAGTTAAAAGGATGTTAGAAAACTACGGACGAATTAAAGCGACTCACCTGTGTCCGCCGATGCAAAAATCACACATACGTAAAAAAACAAGACCCGATATCTTGCGGAGTCAGCCATAATATGTGTTTCTCAAACTTCTCGGTATTTCCTAAAGAGGTATGAAAGTCCGACTCTTGGAGCGTCGAATGAGCTCTGCGGTTCCTCTCCCTTAATTCTCTCTCTGGGTTTATTGGCGGGTCGCAACCAACTTCTCTCCCTGACTTGTTTTTGGTCGACCTTAAAGAAGGAAGGACACACCTTACTGAGAGCTCTAAGCACGCCGTGTTCTCTTACCTGCGTGACGTCACACGCACGCACTCCTTTTTCGAGTTCTGACCGAAATCAACCGCGTGAGCTGAGTGGGAGGACAGAGAGACCGAGACTGTATGGTGTCATACTGAAACCGTTAACATTACAGTTTTAACAACAATGCTATTTAAAGAGTATTTACGTGCCATTTTTTTAAATGTAGGCTATATAGTTAAGACTTAACTCTACATGTTCTTACCAAATGTACCCTTTCATTTGATTTTTCATCTTTATTTCATCAATCTGACACTACATTACCACTCCCCTTTGCTTTTTTTTACTTTTAAAATGATTGATATCGCTAAAATAAACTAAAATATATCCTTGCTTTTTTTTACTTTTAAAATTATTGATATCGCTAAAATAAACTAAAATATATCCTGCTATTAAAATAAAAACGTGAACGCGAGGGACAATTAGACTTGTTGCCTTGGCAACTAAAATATGTTTAACTCTGTTGTGTTGTTCGCGGTCAAAAGTGACCGAACACCTGAAATGTAACCTTTTTTTTCAGTAAAATCAATGTAATATATTTTTGTTCAATAATATTTTTTCTTCTTTATTTTGTGTTTTGAGAGAATTTCATGATATTAATTAATATTTATGCACTAATTATAATTTTTCCCCCATTGAAAATAATAAATTTTTTCCCCTAATAATTTAAATTATGGCAGTATTACATGTTAAAATACAGATGCCTTTAAAATCCATTTTTTGAAGGAAGATTAGTGCCATCTGTTGGGAGTAAAAAAAAGAAAAACCTCAAACAACGATCATTTAGCTTTTTTCGAATCAAGTCCAAGTTTTTTTTTGTGGTTACATAGCGACTGCCATAAACGTTAGTACGATTCCGATGAAATTTGTAAAATTTCAAAACATTTTTTTTCGGTCTAAAATTAGGGTTAAGTATCCTAAAATGAAACTGAAACGTTAATAAAAATAAATATATTTGCAAATATTAAAACAAACTAAAATTAATATGAAAACTGAACATATAAAAAGAAAACCTAATCAAAATATGAATAAATACCATAATAGTATATAGATAATACTAAATCAACACTAACGACAACTCAGAACATGTAGATTGAAATGTACACTTTGTCCTGAGGCTAATTTAAAAAGAATACACAACCTTTTTGAAAAGGTTGCATAACTGTCTGTATTTTGTCAACACCATCAGATATTTATAAAAACATTTATCAAATAAAATAAGTCTTTATCCTAGAGGTCCTTTTTTTCATATGCACCTACTATGATTTCAACAAGGCCAAATTGGCTCTGGTGGGCTTTGTAGTTTTGCATGATTTTAGGTAGTTGTGCTTATATTTTCTGAGTTCAATCACTCTGCCATCACCTATATTGTAAATAAGTTGTCTGAACGGTTTAATCTAAAGTGATTCATTGCTACACAATTATTTTTTGACCTATGTAACTTGTCTTTTCAATGAAGTGTAATTTGAAAAAGGACAATGAACTGTAAACGGTGTGTGTGTGTGTGTGTGTGTCTCAAACAACTGCAAATCGATTTTATGATTTGACTAGTTAAATAAAAAGTTGCTCTGTGGACTTTGGTCATATTCTACCCGCTGTCTGTCTCGTTGAGAAAACCAGGCCACATATACACACAGCAAATCATAGGCAGACATGAAAAAGACAAATTTATTGATCAATAAATGCAGGCCATTCTTTAAAAAAAATGACAAATACAAAATACACCACAGATAAAACAACATTAAAACCTACACATGTGCTTTGAAACCAAGTGGGGTACAGGTGTGCAATAATTATTGACAAATACAAAATACACCACAGATAAAACAACATTAAAACCTATACATGTGCTTTGAAACCAAGTGGGGTACAGGTGTGCAATAATTATAAGATTATGCATAAAAATGAGACAATGAATGGTGCTACCATTCCAGCATTTAGTGCGTTAGAACACGTGAATGAGGTTATGTTTGCTGGTTATACATTCACACATCTAAAATTGGTCACCACTGGTGTGATTCACATAACATTTCACATTCTTTTAGAGATACTTGTACATGCATTTATGTAAATAGGAATAAATGCAAAATGGTTTCTGTAACAGGTGCTCAAAATATATAACAGCTCCAGTTATTCAGTCAACTTCCACCAAACTGGATTAAAGGTCATTCTGAGAAATCCCACTAAACCTAACAGACCAAACGATTTTCAGGTCTTAAAAAGGCAACCTGTAGTGACGTAATGGCAACACAATAATAACAACACTTCAACATTTCCATGGTGACTATGTCATCAAACAGGAGGCCAATTTGTAGTTCCAAGAACTGAGAACCCTTGGATGTCCTTTTAAGGTCTTAAGATCTTCAATTTATGTGAGATTATGAAAAAAAGATGTTTACTCGTTGACTGAATTACATGTTAAATGTTGACTAACTCAGTGCATGTTGTTCCTCCAGCCTTTACAACATTTAATAATAAAATAACAAGAGCTTATATAGTTTTCAAGATGTATTGCAGAGCATCAGAGCATAGCACAGATTTAAAACAGTTCTCTGTCTGTCATTCTTAGTAGGAAGTGCTCTGCGTGTTTCCAGAGTCTGACGTGTAGGTACTGTTTTTCTTTGAATACTTCAGTGCACTGAAGGAAACCCGCATCCTCTGCGCGGTGCGTTCGCTGCGGCAAAGAAACGTGTTTCTTACATGCTCTCTGAACTCATCCGAGATGAAATAATATACAAACGGATCGACGCAGCTGTTGAGGCTGGCCAGGCATAGCGTTGTAATGTAGAAGCCGTAACCGCTGTCCTGTACTCCCAAAGAGAGCAGCGAGTAATGCACCATAACCATGATGTTACTCGGGGTGAAACACACTAGGAACATCACCAGCACAGCGACGATGAGGATGACAGCCTTCCTTCGCTTCTGAACGATGTTAGTGTCTGTCATCGAGCTCTTTAGGGCACGTAGCATCTGCACGTACGCCACTATACATATTATGCAGGGAACTATGAATCCAACAACACCCATAATCAGGAAGTATATCGAAGGGTAGCGTGATTGGCTGGGGCGAGTGACATCATGACAGGTAACGATATCCAGGTTTGTGACCTTCACGGTCTGGTCATAAAGAAAAAGAGGCACGGTAATGGCCCACACAACCAGCCACACACACACAGACACACCAGTTGCCAATTTGTTGTTCCTTTTCTGCTGGGAAAGAGGATGTACTATAGCCCAGTACCTCTGGACACTAATACATGCAATGAAAGCAGTCGAACAATACATGTTCCCGTAGAAGAAGCCCACCAGGACTTTGCACAGGGCTTCTCCGTAGATCCAGTGATTCCCGTTAAAATGGTACGCGATCTTTAAAGGAATCCAGATTACAAACAGCAGGTCTGCCAGCGCAAGGTTGGCCATGAAAATGGATGAGGGATGTTTCTTCTTCGTCCTGAAGAGGAACACCCATATGGCCATAGCGTTGGTTGGCAAGCCCACACTGAAGACGATGATGTACACCACTGGGAAGAAGATCTGCGTGAGCTTGCTGTCCAGTACAGCAACAGCAGTGGACGTCACTGACACTCCATTCTCAGTTTCATCACCAGTAAAGCCCCTGTCCGTGTCAGAACCTATAGATAAAAATAGAATGACAGAATGAAAGAACAATAGATTGATCAATGATAGATAGATAGACAAATATACTTATCGATCGATCGATAGATAGATAGTCAGAGTGGTAGAGAGACATAATGATTCATAGTAGACAAATGAATAATCAGCATGTAAGCTATGAAATCTGTCTACTGTAAAGGAGCAAACATGTCTGATGTGATCCACACTATTATTACTCATAACAAAGGCTATACTGTATACAGCAGCAAAAAACATGCATTACAAACCTCAGGCATTTTGTTATTCAATATTGGTACATACTTGATAGGTGAGGCAGCTATAAACAATGTGAAATCAAACTCATAGCCTACATATATACACACACTGGTTACACAAAACATAATACATTTTTACATAATAAAATATACTGCTTCGTATATACACCACGAGTGCACTTATGTGTACCAGAAGTAACATGCACATTCAACAGAGGCCTAGAGCGTCATTAATATCCGTCAAATAGATTTAGGCCAGAGAAACATTAAAAGAATAGGGAAAAAACGAAGTCAATTGAAACACTTCTCTTTAACTATAAACAGGAAAACACATTCTTACTTTGACTAGACAGGTTCACACTGATTAAGAGAAGCAAAGCGGAAATCCAGATCAGTCGGTGCGCCATTATTCCTGCGAAATTAACTGGAACTATTGTATTTGTCGAAGCGTGGACTGTTTCCGTTATGAATGTAAACAGATTCAGCTCGTTTTTATAGTCAGGTGTGGAGCTCACCGTCCGTCAAAGACATGTGACCTCACCTGGGCCACACCCTTCAGATTCAGAAGAGCTGTGACCAGGTGACACATTTACGTAGGTGTTTTATATATGTCTTCGGTTACAGCAAACACAAAACGTCAATGTAGGCTACCCTTCATTTGTAAGAACAAATGCGCCCTGTTTAGTCACTCTTTATTTTCTGAATTAACGGTACTAGGAACGGGACTAGCTATAGGAAGTGCTGTCTCTTATTTTCTTATGAAGATACAGTTAAAATATAATAACCATCCGCGATGTCAGATGCTCAGATTCAATTTGTATTATTATTTTAAAGTTATCAACATACCCGTTGGTAACCTTCTTGAAATATTAACCTAATTTGATTCAATATTTTCTATAATATACTCAGTTTTAAATTCAGGTTTTTTATTTTTTATTTTTTTATTGCAATTTATTATTCATTTATTAATTAAAAATGTCAAGAAAACAAGCCGAGCCTGAATGAAGCCTAGATTTTATTTATTATTATTATATTTTTAAATAAATCAGTACTTTGTTAGGGCAGTATTTGTGGCACTCGAGAAATCACGCTGCGAAATTAATTCAAAAGGTGTGCGTTTTTGCGCCGATGCATTGTTAAAGGATCAGTGTGTTGTGCAATATTCACATATAAAACTTTAACGGCCAATTAAAAAATATTGGTATAGTAAAATTCTCTAATTCACAAGATCAATACATCATTTTTTAAACCGCTTTGTCTAATTTAACGCATCCTTACAGAAGTGTCGAAATGCGGAATCAATTTATTTATTTCTAACAGCGCTAAATGTAGCAGCGTCATATAGAGGGCAGAGCGCCGCGATATTTAAAGGGGAAGTTCACGCGTCAAAGAGTAACGAGGGAATAAGTAGCTGCATTCTGATTGTTTTTATGTGACTGATCAAGCTATTATATGTAGTTTGGGGTAACAAAGGGTTTTATATGTTTGATTGAAATAATAATGCAAAACCTGACACTTTAAATCAATGTTTCAAACAACAACAACAACTAAACAAAAACAAATGTAATACAATTTATTTTTGTGTGATGACAATTTCTTAGCAACTAGGGATTGCACAAACATGTTTATATATATTTTTATATAAGGCTATACAGGCATCTAGTGGCTACACAATGGTATTACAGGTGATAAATGGTTCAAAATTGATAGTCAATTTACAAATAATTCGTTCAGATTTGTGGAACTCACAATGCATTGAATCTCCACACATTACTATGACAACCATGTTACAAGAAACTGCAGTCTGAAAATAAATTTTATAAACACACACACACACACACACACACACACACACATGTCTGGTCAGCTATCTTTGTGGGTACTCTCCATAGGCATAATGGTTTTTATACTGTACAAACTGTATATTCTATTGCCCTACACCAACCATACACCTAAACCTACCCCTTACAGGAAGGAACTGGCAATTTTTGAATTTCATAAAACACCGTTTTGTATGTTTTTTAAGCCTTTTGTTCCCCATGATTCTGTGTGTATTCAGGTTTAAGTCCCTACCAGAATAGAAAAACAGGTACACACACACACACACACACACACACACATAATTTGGAAGTGTATCAATGTTGCTATTTAAGATTTGAGTTTGTACATAATCAGTTTTGTGTTGTTTTGTATGTAATCTTAAATGATCTCGCAGCAGAAGTGAACACATTCTATTAAAGTGAAAGAGAGTTGCTTACAACCCCTGTGAATACTACTGATATTCTCAAAAGTTACTCTGCAGTCGGGATATTTTTATATCCACATTCACCACGGTCTGCCTAACTGCCATACTGCAATTATTGCTTCTACGCCTATTAGCCTATTATACAATTTGATCAATTTATATACCACCTTCAAAATGTGTAAGAATCTTCTGAATATAATTTTTAGCTTACCAGAGCTAGACTGCATTAAAGGCAGCACATGTAGTCTGCTTGGTTATGGTGTTTGCGTTGTGTACTGTAGACATATGGATAAACACCGCCACCTAGAGAACTGCGTTATCACAGCCAAGGTGTGTGTTTCTTTTAAGAAATTAACGGTAAATATGCTATTGTATGTATTGTTCTGTGGTCTGTGAAGCAAATTACAGTGTTAAAATAATAAAATTAAAATGGTTGAATTAAAAATATGCACATTAAAATAACAGACTAGACTACGATAAACAACAGATCTGTCTACCATAAATTGTACGGTTTATTTACGTTGGGTAGACATATGGATAAACACCGCCACCTAGAGGATTGTTTTAAATCACAGCTCTGCGAATGTAGAACCAAGACATCAGTAAAAACAATGATCACATGGCTTCAGTAGAATGGTAGTTCAGGTTTTGTTATTTTGTTTATTTATTTATTAAGAGAGACAGGAATATGGGTGACATGATAGATAGATAGATAGATAGATAGATATAGATAGATAGATAGATAGATCTGAACAGTAACAGCTCGTTCTGCACAGCGGTTTTACAACAGTGACAGATTACTCTAAACATTTGTCTAGTAAAACAGTAGTCTAGTTAATATCTCTCTTTCACACATTTACTTACTAGATAGTAGGCAGACAGGTAATCATTCCTGCAGATTGAGTATGTATGAACGAATGAAACCTCTGAATGCAGTGTAAGTTGCATTTGATAAAGGTGTTCACTAAATGCAATGTAAATAATTTAACGCGAGATCTGCTTTTTATTTAGGCTACTTATTTGTTTTACAGAACAGCTTAGATGAGAGGATTTTGTGTGAGTGTGACTGATAGTATGATGGCATGGTTTGATGGTGTGTTCACTGTTTTTGCCTTGCTGCCCTAAAACAGAGAGCAGATCTGCTGTCTGTACTGAGACGAGCCGTAGTAGTACAGCAGAGGGTCCAGAAAAACACTTGAGCTTCCCAAACACACAGCCAACAGGTAAGCCAAATAGGTATCCAACCCACTGCTTCCCATGGCTATACAAACACAGTGGTACAACAGGAAGCCATTAGATGGTGCAAAGCACACTACAAACTCAGTCAACACAGCAGTAGCCATAATCGCAGCCCTCTTTCGGTTGTCTGAAGAAGATGCTGAAGTTGCTGAGTGATCATGTTTGGCACAGAGCACATATATGATAGTAGAGTAGCTTACTAAGATGACGACTAGCGGCAGGAAGAAGTAGATGCAGGGGATGATTAAGAACACGGATAAGTATAACATCACTGAAGAGTCTTCGTCCAACAAGTCAAAGCAGGTGACTCCCAGATTCTTGAAACTGAATGTTTGTCTCAATGCAAGAAGTGGTGCTATGCCAGCAAGCGCCAGCAGCCAGACCAACACACATATACATCTGGCTTTCCTTGTGCTCCTCCAGGTCAGAGAGGCGACGGGAAACGCCACGGCCAGCAGCCTGTCCACACTCATGCACATCATCAGCAGTATGGAGCAGTACATGTTGCAGTAGTAAGTTGCACTAAGCAAACGACACGCCGCCTCACCGAACACCCAATCTGAAGCGTTCAGCTGGTAGTGGATCTTCAGAGGCAGCAGCAGGGTGAAGAGCAGGTCCACACACGCCAGGTGAGACATGTAGATCACAGCTGGTTTCTTCTTTCGAATCTTACAGGTGAACGTCACCAAGGCCAAAGCATTCAGGGGTAAACTAAGGAGGATGACTAAGATGTAGATCGAGGGCATGACTCGTGTGACCATCAAGCCTTTAAAGAGGAGAACGACCTCATGTGGGGCGACCAATGGCCCAGAGGATGTTATAGTTTGGTTATTGTAAATCACTGCACTATCATTTCTCTTAAACATTGCTACTTGTCTCTTAATTGTCTGGTTAAAAAAGCCAAACGGAAAATAGTTCATGAGGCCAGAATCTGTAACAAAACACAGCACAGTCAATCCTTTAATTTACTAGCTTTAGTCCAAAACAAAACCCATCTGACAACAGATCTCATTTACTATAACAACTACAGATCATCAGAATTATAAATAACTGTTTCACTATTTTACCTAATAAGCTAGGTAAATTCATTTTTTAGCACATCAGCAAGTCACAACTGAAAATCATGTCAGATCACTGATGTACTTACCGTTGAATGAATGATCCGTAAATGAAGGAAATTCACTGAAGTCCACCATGATTTCCGATTAACTGTCAGTTTCAAGAATTTCACAACTTACAATCGTCAAATTTTAGAATCTCTAGATGGACAGACACGGCCATACAGTGTTGTGCTGAAGAAAGTGATTTCTAATCACTCGAAGATGGAAGGATGCGCTTTAAAATGAGGTGACATCACTGAAGTCTTCAGTGCGTGAGTTGGGAAGATAAATAAATGTTGACTGGTTTGGGTGTGACTTACCCAAAAGTGCTACCAGTATTTCAATACATTTTCTCCTCTGCGAAACATCCCCTCACGTATTAATGCATATTGTCAATTTGTTTCTAAATTTTTTTTGTATTAATGATCAACAATATATTTAGTTTATACAAATTTGCTAGGAATACTTAATGGACATACTGTAAACAATAGCACTTCTGTTAACATTGCACACTGAAAACAATATATAAATAAATCACAATGAAGGGGAAATTACACAATCCATTTCTGGGTCTTGCGGTCTGAAGCTTTGCACTCTCCTGACCATACATTGATGCATGTGGTTAGAACACAAATCTCCACAGAATGTGTAAGAGCCCAAGTGATGTTGCCTGTAATAAGCAGATCTGGAAACTTGATGCTAATGACTGTTTCTTTGAGGAACCATTGATGTGTGGTGGGAAATTTGGATTTTGGGACATCCTGAAGTGATCTGCACGTTCGCAGTGACTGTGCACCAATACCAACACCAAGAAATTAGGCAATTTCAATCAAAAGTTTACAAATAATATTACAGATTCATAGTATCTGCATTTCATAGTGACTGACAGGAATGTAAATTAGCTACTTTGTTAATGTGACTCAAAAAATATGAAAGAATTTGAAGGGAAAATAACTAATAATTGTCTCTGCTACCCCAAACATGTTAAATGAATAGCAACATAACTGTTCACCAAGGTGTATTTTATTAAATATTGGAAAATGGCTCACAATAACAACAAATTATGAGCCAAATCAATAAGTAATGTAGTATTGGGTTTTCATTGACATCTGACTCTTTTCAATGTAAAAAAAGAAAACAATATTTAACTGTGACACTAAGAACTAACTGCTTGGTGACGATATAATTTATTACTGTTTATCAAAGTGGGATGAGTGAGGAACGTGCCAGGACTCAAACTCGAGTCGAAACAAAATGAACTCCGACAGCTTTATTATAACTAATGATGAATTACTCACTGTTTTGGTGTAATGCATTTTAGGAAATAGCTAGTCTAGCAAATTTAAAATGCATTAAACACAACGGCATGTATACACTGAAAGTAGACATATTGATAACCACCTAGAGGATTGCTTTATCACAGCCTCTGTGCGAATGTAGAATGAAAACGCGAGTACAATCAGTGATCAAATGGCTTCAGTCAAATGTTATTACAGGTTTTATTTATTTTTATTTTATTTATTAATATAAATAGTATGTTATGTATTATGAACAATATTCTCCAAGACCTTCACTGACACAACACAATATTGCTAATATATGTGTGCATACAGAGACAATGAACACCTGCACTTTATTCCATGTTGGTTAACACTGGCAAATAAATACATGTGGTGAACTTGTCAAGCAAACAAAGGATACAGCTCAGAATATGGCTAGATGTTGTTTTAAGAGAGATCTGCTTTTATTTTTTCCTGTGAAGCTGTAGTGCAGTGAGAGGTTTTTATGTGTCTGACAGCGTTTTTGCTCTCTTTTTTGCTTTATTGCACCAAAACACAGAGCGGATGTACTTTCTGCACTGAGACGAGCCATAGTAGTACAACAGAGGGTCCAGAAAAACACTTGCACTCCCCAAACACACAGCCAACAGGTAAGCCGCATATGATGAATCTCCCTCACGGTGGCCTCCATTAGCTAAAAGATAACAGTGGTACATCATGATGCCATTGGTTGGAGCAAAGCACAACACAAACTCAGTCAACACGGCGACAGCCATAATCACAGCTCTCCTTCGCTTGTCTGAAGATGAAGATGATGTTGCTAAGCGATCAGATTTGACACTAAGTGCATATATGATGGTGATGTAGCTCACAAAGGAGATGACCAGAGGCAAGAAGAAGTAGAGGCAGGAGAGGATGGAGAACAGGTACACATAATACATTACTGTTGTGTAATTTTTGCGTAGCACATCATGGCAGGTGACGCCCACATTTTCAGTCTTAACTGTTTGTCTCACTAAGAGAAGTGGCACAGTACCAGCGATCGCCAGCAGCCAGACCAGCACACATACACATGTGGCTTTCCTTGTGCTCCTCCAGGTCAGAGAGGCGACGGGAAACGCCACGGCCAGCAGCCTGTCCACACTCATGCACATCATCAGCAGTATGGAGCAGTACATGTAGCAGTAGTAAGCTGCACTGATCACACGACACGCCGCCTCACCGAACACCCAATCTGAAGCGTTCAGCTGGTAGTGGATCTTCAGAGGCAGCAGCAGGGTGAAGAGCAGGTCCACACACGCCAGGTGAGACATGTAGATCACTGCTGGTTTCTTCTCTCGAATCCTACAGGTGAATGCTACCAAGGCCAAAGCGTTCAGGGGCAAACTAATGAGGATGATGAAGATGTAGAACGAGGGCATGATGCGTGTGACCAGCAGGCCTTTGAGGAAATCAACAGCCTTGTCTGAGATGTTAAGTGTGTCAGTACTGCTCTTATTCGTAGAACTGCCTAAAAACACACCTAGAGTAGGTTTATTGTAATCAGGACCTGTAACCAACACAAAACACCATGAGGAAAGTTCTCATACTACTACCAGACAATATCAAAATCAACTTTAACACATGAACAGCTACATATGTTGAATGACTTAGGGAATGGTGTGGTCTGATGATTAAGTCACTGCACCCAGAATATTACCAACCTGAAAATGTAACTATTTTATGAGGAGTCGATTTTGTGTGCATTTGTACAATGTGAATCATACAAAAACATACCATTATTACAAAAAAAGTAAGTGTGCACCCCTAAACATAACTGTCAGTGGTTATAGTTATGAATTGCTATGAGATTGTGTTGCATATTACTCTGTGTTGATGAAGAGTTCAGATTAATGATGTTTTTGTAGCAAGACGGTGGAGCACAGCCAGAATCTGTAATCAACACAAAAGACCATTAGTGAAAACTCTCATAATACCATCAGACAGTAAATATGAGGAGGACACATTTGCAAAAAGGCTTTGATGGAGATTATGTAATATTAAAGGAATTGAAATTCAAGCTTCGGGATATTTATAGTGCATAGATACACTTTATGATGCTTATGAGGGATGATAAATGATATATGATATACAGCAATTGGCAATGTTAAATGAAACCTTCACCACTGATAGAAACCAACTAACAATAGCGCTTTATTGTGAAATATACTTTCTTCATTGCAAACAAAATCCAATGAAAAACATGTTATACACTAACAATCCATAAATAGCTGTTACTCTCATAATATGTATAAATTAAAATAAATAAACAACCAGATTTCTATCACCCATCTGTATTATATACAGCACAGTGTTGTTAATGCTAACTAAAACTAACATTAAAATTATTAAAAATAATTTTTGTTACTTAAATTAAACTGGAATGAAATAAAATAAAATCTAAATATTAGATGAACAATAACTTAAAAACTTGACTGAAATTTAAGTTGAACTGGGAAACCCCCCCCCCACAGCAAAAAACTAAAGATAAATAAACATTTTTAAACAAATCATGTAGACATGTAGATCACTGCTGGTTTCTTCTCTCGAATCCTACAGGTGAACTTCAAGTCCAAAGCGTTCAGGGGCAAACTAATGAGGATGATGATGATGTAGAATGAGGGCATGACGCGTGTGACCAGCAGGCCTTTGAGGAAGTCAACAGACTCGTCTGAGATGTTGTATGTGTGCTGTGTAGTCTTGTTGCAATCCACTGCATTCAGATCAGTGCTGTTACATGGCTGGTCTTCAAGAATACGGATAATGATTGGATCTGTAAACAAACATGCAAAAATAAATAAATAAATTAAAACAAGAACAACCGTGAAACTTCTACTTAAAAACTTGACTGAAATTTAAGTTGAACTGGGAACCCCCCCCAGCAAAAAACTAAAGATAAATAAACATTTTTAAACAAATCATGTAGACATGTAGATCACTGCTGGTTTCTTCTCTCGAATCCTACAGGTGAACTTCAAGTCCAAAGCGTTCAGGGGCCAACTAATGAGGATGAAGGTGTAAAACGAGGGCATGACGCGTGTGACCATCAAGCCTTCGAGGAAATTAATAGCCTCGTCTGAGATACCAAATGTGTTCAAGACATGTAGTTTCATTGTATATTTCTTCATTCAGATGAGTGATATTGCAGGCTTGGCAAAAATTTGTATTTGTTCATACAGAACTATGGAAGTAGAAGAGCTGCATGTAACAAAGCCTGTAACAATAACAAAACCAACAGTGAAAGTTCTTGTGAGGCACATTATATAAAAAGCTTTGATGAAGGCTTTAAGTGAAATAAACAACGGTCATAAAACTGCACGGTGACAAGAAGATAGAGGATCCAAATGGAGTAGTTTATTGATGGGGTAATCCACAAACATAATCCAAATGGCAGGCAAAAGTCAAACAAATATAGGCAAACCAAAACAACGACAGAATAAGGGGCTGGGGCAAACAGAGTAATCCAGAAAACAGGCAGAACAACAAGACCAGAAACCAAGATACAGGCGAACAAGGCATAGAATTGCAGATGACACATACAAGACTTAGCAAAGAATGACATTGAGAACCGGGCTTATATAGGGTGAACTAACCATGCAAATGAGACACAGGCGCAAACAATGAGTGCTGATAAAACCGTCAGAGGATTGTGGGGAATGAAGTCCTTGATAAAGTGGCAGAAGTCTGGGATGGAGTGCCCTCTAGTGGACAACCAGGGCACCCCAGCCAGCGATCGTAACAACAAAGACAATCAAAAGCTAGACTTATGGATAAACACTGCCATGTAGAGGATTTATTTATCACAGTTTCAGTGTTAAAGTGTAAAATGGAAATTCTGTCTGCATTTACTCACACTCGTGGTAAAAAAAACAACAACATACATTTATTCATCTTCATCTTTTAAAGGGGTCATATGATGCTATTTTAAAGATCATTATTTTGTGTATTTGGTGTAACAGAATATGTTGACATGGACGTTTTCTGTCCCTCCATTAAAAGTCCACGCAACCAAAACTTGGAAGATCCAAAACGCTCATAAAAGCATTGTAAAACTAATCCATATGAATTCGTTTTCTGTATATTGTAATTTAGTTGTGGACTTTTATTGGAGGGACAGAAAGTTCTCAGGTTACAGTATACATTTTTTACTTTGTGTTTCACAGATTAACCAGTCTTTTGGGTTTGGAACAACATGACAGCAAAATCTACCTGGTGACCCTGAACCGAGTTCATCAGACATCTGCGTTGAAGACTCATTGTCATCAATTGGCTCATCAGTCTGTTCAAAGCTGCTTACAGAGCTCTCTGCAACCAAACAGGTCAAAACACCATCGGTGAAAACACACAAGCTACTAAAGGGAATTGGGTCCCATTTGCAAAGAGGCCTTGATTAAAATGTCAAGTTAAATAATTTCCTGTGAACACCATTAGCAGCCCATCTCTTAGCTGTTTGATCTCAGATTTCAGGCAGATTCTTGATTCTGAAGAAAAAAGAAAACAAACTCCTAAGACATGCAGACTCATAGAAAACATTACTAAGACTCCAGTGTTCACAGGAAATTACCATATTTTGTGACCTAAATGCAATGAAGGCTCTTTATGTAAAATATAATGTGAAAAAAGTGGCATAACAGCAACACTTTACATTAATTTGTGGATGTCAGTGCATTGTAAATAATTCATATGAATTTCAAGCATACATAAAAAGTTCAAATAGCATGCAGTACTTGTCAATGGTGGGACATTCAAAGGGATAATTCACCTAAAAATGAAAAATCTGAAGATATTTTTTAAGAATGTTGGTAATCTAACAGTTTTGGCTATTGTTGACTTCCATTATATGGACAAAAATTATGACATTTGTCAAAATATCTTCTTTTATTTTTCATAGAAGAAAGAAAGTCATTCATGTTTGGAACATCATGAGGGTGAGTAAAGTATGAAAGAAATTTTATTTTTTGGTAAACTATCCTTTAAGTGCAGTTTAACCTTGTTGTTCCAAGACAAACAACACTTCACTGAATTTAAATGTCTGTTTAAATTTGTTGTTTACACTTGTTTTTGTAGAACCACACATATATATTAACCTGTATACATAGAAAAATTATTACTATGTTTTTTTGTACTGTGGTAATTTGAAGTTAATATGGTAATTGGAGTATACCATAAACACACCATAGTATATGAAAATGAAGCCAATTTAGATGAAAGTAAAAAATAGCATAGTAAATGAAAATGATACCATAGTATATGAAAAGGTAAAAAAGTAAAAGTAAAACAATCTTTAAGCTATCACACAATTTAAACCAGCAATCAACACAAAACAAGCTTACACACATAATATGATAAGGTCAAGGTTTCATCTGCACAGCATCAAAAGACTGTAATAAAAAGACAAACTTCTGTCATGCACAACTGCACTGATGTACTTACCGTTAAAGGTGGCAGTGCATGCATGCAGAAGTATAATGGAAAACAAGATAGTTTTGACCGCCATGAGTACCGATCAGGGTTCACTTTCAAACTGTAGATGAATCTCAGTACAGACAGTGCTTCTTCACTCTCTGAGTGCTCAGTCTCTTCTGTGAGGAGAGGCTCGGATTTAGATATGGTGACATCACTGGACCCTCCACCCTCCACTGAGCCCAAGTTCATTGCTATTCATTACACCTACAGAGCGAATGAGAAATCGAGCTGTAATTGACAGACATCACAGCTCCAAATGAGAGATATACAAATCATGGTTTATTTGGGCATTTTCCCTAAAGCTCCAATATTATTTCATTATATAATGCCTTGTAGATGCCTACAGTATTCAGTATTTTCAGTTTATTTGGCTGCCAGGACAAGTTTATATCATCATCAGTATATGTAAATTCATTTTTAATCCAATTTTGTTGTTTATTTTTCCATTATCATTCCTTAATGTTGCTCCAGCACCCAGTTGTTCACAGGCTGCCCGCACACATCTTGATAAACCTTCTTCATCGATATGATGCATTGGCTGTTAAATAAATATTGCACTATTCAGTGCACTTTTGTTGACTGTGTTCTAAAATATGACATTGACGGAATGAGAACTCTCATGTTTTGTTTTATTTTTTAAAAACTCTTTTGTCTTCACATTTATACAAATTTTAAGTACAGTAGATTATAAATGGGGAAGTTACACTCATCAGTATTGCAAAATAATGCATATTTACATATTGCAACAGAAATCATGACTATACAAACACCTTAATTTTTGAGATACAAACTAAAGGCATTTCAATTTTGTGTTAAAAATACAATGTTTTCAAATTTCAAAGACACAGTATGATTGTACATATGCTATAGGTTTTATATATATATATATGCACAGACAAACATAAAAAATATACATAACAATCCAGTCATTTAAAACTGGCACTTGAATACATTGAACCTGTAAATCAGCAATTATCTGACTATGCATTTATAAATGAATCTTTAGAACAAAACAATCACCATCATATCACACCTTGACGCGAGTGTGAGTGTACTCACAGCTCAGGTTAGAGGATTTTGTTTGACTGTTTGTGTTTGTTGGTGTAGTTGTGCTTTTTGTCTTCCTCCAGCGAATCAGAGAGCTGATCTGCTGTCTGCACTGAGATGAGCCATAGTAGTATAACAGAGGGTCCAGAAAAACACTTGCGCTCCCCAAACATACAGCCATCAGGTAGTATTTCCCCTCCTCACTGCTGCCTCTGGTGGCTAAATGAACACAGTGGTACAACAAGATGCCATTGGTTGGTGCAAAGCACATTACAAACTCCATCAGCACAGCTATAGCCATAATCACAGCTCTCCTTCGTTTGTCTGTGGATGATGTTGCCAAGCGAATAGACTTTACACGGAGCACATATATGATGGTGGAGTAGCTCACTAAGGTGACGCCCAGTGGCAAGAAGAAGTAGAGGCAAGAGAGGATGGAGAACAAGTTCACATACAGCTGTGTGTGATACAGCACATCATGGCAGGTGACGCCCACATTCTCAATCGTGGATGTTTGTGTTATGAAGAGAAGTGACACCGTACCAGCGATTGCCAGCAGCCAGACCAGCATACATATGTATGTGGCTTTCCTTGTGCTCCTCCAGGTCAAAGAGGCGATGGGAAACGCCACGGCCAGCAGCCTGTCCACACTCATGCACATCATCAGCAGTATGGAGCAGTACATGTAGCAGTAGTAAGCTGCACTGATCACACGACACGCCGCCTCACCGAACACCCAATCTGAAGCGTTCAGCTGGTAGTGGATCTTCAGAGGCAGCAGCAGGGTGAAGAGCAGGTCCACACACGCCAGGTGAGACATGTAGATCACAGCTGGTTTCTTCTCTCGAATCCTACAGGTGAATGCTACCAAGGCCAAAGCATTCAGGGGCAGACTAATGAGGATGATGAAGATGTAGAACGAGGGCATGATGCGTGTGGCCATTGGGCCTTAGAGGAAGAGAACAGCATCCTCTGTGATATTGTATGCGTCCTGTGTTGTCTTGTTGCATTTCACTGCATCCAGATCAGTGCTGTTACATGGCTGTCTAAATTGAATAATTTCTTCAAGGACTTGGACAATACGGGTAATGATTTGACCTGTAAACAACATGCAAAAATAAATAATAATAAAAAACAACAACTGTAAAACTTCTCATAACACCACCAGACAAATATCAGTGAATAGAGGGCTTTTTACTCTTGAAATCGTTTACTCTTATAAACCCCGGTTAAATGGAATCCTGGGTTATCTTGCTTCACGTTTCATATTGCTCATAATTTACCTAGTGTTAACAATTAATGCTGGCTATTCAAAAACTGGCATTTCACACTGTACATTCCTAATGCTGCGTTTCAGACAACTCAAAATTTGGATTTTCCCCACCACCTATTTGGAAATGAGGTCTTGAACGCTGCTTGCGTTATTTGACATCACTGCTTCCAACTAGTATAGTGTGGAGCTATCTAATGTCAATCTTCAAAACATTAGACATTAAGTTTATAAAATGATGCTTTAATTTTTAGCTGTTTTCAAAAGAAAGAGAATATCACACACAGCGAATATAATTCTTGAAGATGGATCAATACCAACTGTTCATGATCCAACACATCCAGAACATGTAATTACCGCACTTTATATTTTGTTAATGTTTGCAAATCGCCTTTCTGCATGTGCTTGTTACACACTGTACGGCTAATGTGGCTAAAGTGACCATTGTCTCTGACTGTATACATAGAGACCAGAGCTATGTTGTTATTTTTTATTTTTAAGAAGTAATAAAGATGTGTTTATGAATTGTACAAATGGTGAGCGTTTTCGGGTTAAAAAATAAAAATAACAATATATCTCTGGCCTCTGTTAATACAGTAAGAGACAACGTGCTATCAAGCACATTCACAAAATATAAAGTCAGGTAATTGCATGTCCCAAATATGTAGTTGGATCACGAACAGTTGGTATTGATCCATCTTTTTGTGCAAGTCCTGCATTTTAATGACCCTCATTTTCAAAGCAGTTTTGTGATGATTTGCACAAACATATAGGAATTTAGTTATTTTCTTGGACAGATTCCCTTCATAAATAAAATTAATCCATCGAGTCCTCTGCTCTGACATCAAGACAAAATGAAGACTCTTATGTTCACTTTTACATCCAACCTAAAACTACAAAAAACAAACAAACAAAAAAAAAACTTTAATTGGCCCTTGTGGGATTAATAAAGTTGTTAACTTAAAACACCTGAAGCGCTTATGAGACATTGTTGAAAACAGTGCACAACTGGCTGAAGGTGGAAACTATGCTAATATGGGACAGTCCGTCAGCGGTCATGGGCGGGGCCTGAGCAGTATGACGTCATAGTGCTCAGAAAATCAAAACGCTTGATAATTGAGACTCTTCAAGTTTTTGGAGGATTAAAAAAAAGTGGGTGGATTTTTATCATTGTAGGGTGGTTGTGTCCACACACTGCTAAGACACATTTATATGCAAACAACATCTAAAAGAAAATTTTGCATAATAGGTCCCCCTTAACACCGTAAAATCATTGCTAACTCTGCTCTGGGTAAAGACTCATAACACCAACCTCGCTTTTTGTTACAAGTGTGAAATGTTCCTTTACTCTGAGTTAAAAGCGTGGTTTAGAACGACAACAACCCGTGGTTAAGAAAAGCTGTGTGAAAAGCTTTTAAGGTGATGGTGTTAATTTAAAGAATTCATGTAAAACAGTAACAGTTTACAGTAAAAATACTGAATCAGAACCTATGTTTTCTGTGTGACTTTTTGAGTTGTTTGCTTCACCTCCTGTGATTCGTTCCAGAATCTTTAAAATAAAAATAGAATCCTGAAATCCTCTAAATTCTCAAACAATGGCCAGTCACTTACTGTACAATATGCATAGCACTTCCTTTTTATAAAATAATTTGATAATGAGCTGAAGTAATGATCACACATTACACAAATAGCTCAGATGTTACAAATTGCTTCTGCAAGTCTGGAAACTTTACCTGGAAGCTCTGCTATGGAATAGTTTGTGGGAAAATTTCTGGAATAGTCTCCAGAATAATGTCCATAAAACACCCCATCCGAAAAGGAATAATTTTCTGTTGTCTCATAGGTCTCTGTCGTAACAGTGAAGTTGCGTTCAGCACCATTTGTAACCAAACAAACAAAACATCAAGTTTTGATGGCATTACCAGAAAGGTGAAAGCGACTGTGAAAGATTTGCTAAGAGGCCTTGAACGTTTATCTTAATAAGTCAAAACACAGGGCCATCTTCTGTAAAAAGTACTATTAGCAACCTGTCTATTGTAATTAAACAATTGCAGTGTTTTTTTTTATCTGCCTGGATGAATTAAAAAAATTAATTTGTCTGTTTCACCCCAATTGGAATGGTGCTGTACTGAGTTAAAAATGAGTAAAAAGTCATATATGAATTCAAGCAGATTAGCAAGCCATGAAAGTCATAGTACTTTTAATTACTGATGTACTTACCACATGTATGCACTAAAATAATAGAAAGCAAGAGAGTTTTGATCCCCATGAGCACTGATCAGATCTAACTCTAGACTTTAATGTCATCAAACATCAGAATCTCAACACCCGCTCTGCATCTGTCACTGAGTGCCCAGGCTCTTCTCTTATGCCAGGATATGATACAGGCAATTTTCAACTATTCAGTGAAAGGAGATGCTTCAGAAAAAGTTGAGCATCACCCTCAGGAGGTTTGTGATGTTCGCCATTCCTGTTGAAATGCCGTTTCAAATATGAATTTGTCAAGTCAAGTCAAGTCAAGTCAAGTCTCGTAACTTGGCAATGTTTCTAAGATGGAAGAATGCTGTTTTTGTAACATGGGAAATATGATTTTCAAAAGACAAGTTGCTATCTAATATAAACACCCAGATTTTTGACTGTAGAGGAATTTGTGTGATTTTGATGAACACAAACAATAAACATTAAATCAACATTAAAATTAAATAGATCATATGTTTAAAACTAGCTAGGGTTTTTGTGTTAGATAACAGTTTATCAATGTTAAACATTAGTTCTCATAGCAAAAAAACAAGACACTTTCACAAATCACAATAGGATGATATAAGATGTTGTTTCCTTTGGGTGTGTCTCCACTTACGCAGAATGACTGAAT